CATCCGAAAAATTATCCATTATGATCAAGTAGGCTTCATTCCTGCGATGCAGGGCTGGTTCAACATACGAAAATCTATCAATGTAATCCAGCATATAAATAAACTGAAAGAAAAAAAACATATGATCATTTCATTAGATGCTGAAAAAGCATTTGACAAAATTCAACATCCATTTATGTTAAAAGTCTTGGAGAGATTAGGGATACAAGGGTCATACCTAAATATAATAAAAGCTATATAGAGCAAGCCGACAGCTAACATCAAATTAAACGGAGAGAAACTCAAAGCCATCCCACTTAACTCAGGAACACGGCAAGGCTGTCCACTCTCGCCATACCTCTTCAATATAGTGCTTGAAGTTCTAGCAATATCAATAAGACAACATAATGGAATCAAGGGGATTCGAATTGGAAAGGAAGAAGTTAAACTTTCGTTATTTGCAGATGATATGATAGTGTACATAAGCGACCCCAAAAACTCCACCAAAGAACTCCTACAGCTGATAAACAGCTTTAGTAATGTGGCAGGATACAAGATCAACTCCAAAAAATCAGTCGCCCTCTTATACACAAAGGATAGGGAAGCAGAGAGGGAAATCAGAGAAGCTTCACCATTCACAATAGCCAAAAACAGCATAAAATATCTTGGGGTACATCTAACCAAGGAAGTGAAAGATCTATTTGACAAGAACTTTAAGGCATTGAAGAAAGAAATTGAAGAGGGTACCAAAAAATGGATGGACCTCCCTTGCTCTTGGATTGGGAGGATCAACATAGTAAAAATGGCAATTCTACCAAAGGCTATTTATAGATTCAATGCAATCCCCATCAAGATCCCATCAAAATTCTTCACAGATCTGGAGAGGACAATAATCAACTTTATATGGAAAAACAAAAAACCCAGGATAGCCAAAACAATCCTATACAATAAAGGATCTTCTGGAGGCATTACCATCCCTGACTTCAAACTCTATTACAGAGCTACAGTAATGAAAACAGTGTGGTACTGGCATAAAAACAGAGAAGTCGACCAATGGAATCGTATAGAAGACCCGGATTTTATCCCACAAACCTATGAACACCTGATTTTCGATAAAGGAGCTAAAAGTATAAAATGGAAGAAAGAAAGCATCTTCAACAAATGGTGCTGGCACAACTGGATGTCATCTTGTAGAAGAATGAAAATAGACCCTTATCTATCACCGTGCACAAAACTCAAGTCCAAATGGATTAAAGACCTCAATATCAGCCCGAACACACTGAACCTGATAGAAGAGAAAGTGGGAAGTACCCTACAGGAGCTGGGCACAGGAGATCGCTTCCTATGTATAACCCCAGAAGCACAGACATTAAGGGCAACATTGAATAAATGGGACCTACTTAAACTGAGAAGCTTCTGTAAAGCAAAGGACATAGTCAATAAGACACAAAGGCAACCTACTGATTGGGAGAAGATCTTCACCAACCCCACAACAGACAAAGGTCTGATCTCCAAAATATATAAAGAACTCAAGAAACTAGACTTTAAAATGCTAATTAACCCAATTAAAAAATGGGGCACTGAACTGAACAGAGAATTCTCAGCAGAGGAAGTTCAAATGGCCAAAAGACACTTAAAGTCATGCTCAACTTCCTTAGCAATCAGGGAAATGCAAATCAAAACAACTTTGAGATATCATCTTACACCTGTCAGAATGGCTAAAGTCAAAAACACCAAGGATAACCTTTGCTGGAGAGGCTGTGGAGGAACGGGTACCCTCATCCATTGCTGGTGGGAATGCCATCTTGTGCAACCACTGTGGAAGTCAGTGTTTCGGTTTCTCAGGAAATTAGGGATCAACCTACCCCTGGACCCAGCAATACCACTCCTGGGAATATACCCAAGAGATGCTCTTTCATATGACAAAAGCATTTGTTCAACTATGTTCATAGCAGTATTATTTGTAATAGCCAGAACCTGGAAACAACCTAGATGCCCTTCAATGGAAGAATGGATGAAGAAAGTATGGAATATATACACGCTAGAGTACTACGCTGCGGTAAAAAACAATGACTTCTCGAATTTTGCAGGCAAATGGATGGAAATAGAAAACACTATCCTGAGTGAGGTGTCCCAGACCCAAAAAGATGAACATGGGATGTACTTGCTCATAATTGGTTTCTAGCCATAAATTAGGGCCACGGAGTCTACAATAGGTGAATCTAAAGAAGCTAAGTAAGAAGGTGAACCCAAGGAAAAACATATAGTTATCCTCTTGGCTAAGGGAAGTAGACCCAATTGCCGGGGAGAAAATTAGGATCTTGGGGGTGGGGTGGGATGGGGGTAAGGGGAGATGGGGAGAGAAAAGGTAGAACGGAAGGAGGGGGGATTTGGGGAATCAGGAGAATTGGGATAAAGGAAAGGTGGATAGGGGAGCACGGAACCACAATTCTTAGTTAAGGGAACCACTTTAGGGTGAGCAAGAGATTTGACCCTAGAGGGGCTCCCAAGTGCCCAACATGAGGTTCCCAGTTAGTTCCTTGGGTAGCTGAGGATTGGGAACCTGAAATGACCCTATCCGAGAGCAATACTGACGAATATCTTGCATATCATCATAGAACCTTCATCTGGTGATGGATGGAGACAGAGACAGAGACCCACACTGGAGCACTGGACTGAGCTCCCAAGGTCCCAATGAGGAGCAGAAGGAGGGAGAACATGAGCAAAGAAGTCGGGACCACGAGGCGTGCACCCACCCACTGAGACAGTGGAGCTGATCTACTGGGAGCTCACCAAGGCCAGCTGGACTGTGACCGAAAAAGCATGGGATAAAACCGGACTCTCTGAACATGGCGAACAATGAGGGCTGATGAGACGCCAAGGACAATGGCACGGGGTTTTGATCCTACTTAATGTGCTGGCTTTGTGGAAGCCTAGCCAGTTTGGATGTTCACCTTCCTAGATATGGACGGAGGGGGGAGGACCTAGGACTTACCACAGGGCAGGGAACCTGGACTGCTCTGTGGACTGGAGAGGGAGGGGGAGAGGAGTGGGGGGAGGGGTAGAAGGGTGGGAGGAGGGGGAGAAGGATGGGAGGAGGGGGAGGGAAATGGGAGGCTGGGAGGAGGTGGAAACTTGTTTTTTGTTTATGTTGTTTTTTCTTCTTTTCTTAATAAAAAAAATTATTAAAAAAAAAAAAAAGAAAGAAAGACACAGAAAGGACTCTTCGTGGGCAGTCCTTGGGCTTCCCACAGGTCAGGGAACCCTGATTGCTCTTCGAGCAGATGAGGGAGGGGGACTTGATCGGGGGAGGGGGAGGGAAATGGGAAGCAGTTGCGGGGAGGAGGCAGAAATCCTAAATAAATCAATAAATAAATAAGAAAGAAAGGACTCTTCCAGGCTTGTGAGGTTTGGTAGACCTATGGAGACCCTGGGTAGAGATTACTGTGGCAGTCTTGCGCAATCTAAGTTCCTAGGTAAGACCAGGTTGCAGTATGGCTGGTGATTGCAATAAAGGGAACACAGAGCATTGTCTGATGGTTGCTGTATCTAGATTTACCTACATGGAATTTGGTGTGGCCTAAAACTGTGTTACCAAACCATGATCATTTATACTGGCTCCAGAGTAAACTATGTCTTACTTTCTTTAAGGTGAAAGCTACATTTTTCACCTTGTCAAAAGTCTACCATTACATGGGTTCTGGAGATTGAACTTAGGTATTCAGGATTGTATAGCAAACACTTTTACTCATTGATCCACCTTGTCAGTCTAAGAAAAAGAGTACTGTAAGTGGCAAGATGAAAGGTTCATTCTCCAGAAAGTGATCGTAGAAGAGAGCATCCTTCAGCTTTCAATGGACTCTCTTTTCTTTTTCTGTTTTTATTGATTTAATTGAGCTATACATTTTTTTCTCTGCTCCCCTCCCTACCTCTCCTTTCCCATTCAACCCTCTCCCATGGTTCCCATGCTCCCAATTTACTCAGGAGATCTTGTCTTTTTCTACTTCCCATGTAGATTATATCCATGTTGTATGACTCTCTTAGGGTCCTCATTGTTGTCTAGGTTCTCTGGGATTGTGATTTGTAGGCTGGTTTTCTTTGCTTTAAGTCTAAAACCTACTTATGAGTGAGTACATATGATAATTGTCTTTCTGGGTCTGGATTACCACACTCAGTATGATGTTTTCTAGCTGCATCCATTTGCCTGCAAATTTTAAGATGTCATTATTTTTTTCTGCTGTATAGTACTCCATTGTGTAAATGTACCACATTTTTCTTATCAGTTCTTCAGTCAAGAGGCAATTAGGTTGTTTCCAGGTTCTGGCTTTGACAATCAGTGCTGCTATGAACATAGTTAAGCACATGTACTTGTGGCATGATTGAGCGTCCTCTGGATATATACCCCAAAGTGGACTCTTTCATGAATGCTGCTTGTTAATGTTCTTTAAAAAGTATCTATTCTATTTCCTTTTCCCAGGGAGATCCATGCTTCCCCCCTTGAGGCCTCCTTGATACTTAACCTGTTTTGGTTCATGGGCTAACCTTTACTTAACAAGTAGCATCTGCTTATAAGTATGTACATACCATGTTTGTCTTTTGGGGTTAGGGTTACCTCCATGAGGATGATTTATTTTATAGTTCCATTCTTTTGCCTGCAATTTTCATGATATTTTTTTAAAACGTGAGTAATATTTTTGAGGATAGACTAAGTTGGGTGGGGATGGAAACAGGAGGGATCAGGTGGAGGGTCGGTGAAGAATAAATAAGATAGGGAAAGATAGAAAATAACCCTTAAAGATTAAATTATTTAACCTGAACTTAATACTTGTGAGGTTTCCAAAGGATAAGTAGAATTGTATTTCATGGCATACTTTCTTCAAAAACTATACTGTACCTGAAACCTGATGTTATAACCTGAATTTCCTCTCTAGTCTGGCCAAGCGAGAAATATAATGTCACATTTTGACCATCTTTTTGGCAGTCCCACATGAACTGAAAGATATTCTGCTGTTTCCTTCCAGGGTGAACAGTGTGACAAAGGCTTCCACTACAGTCTCTGATCATCACTACATCCTGGGGTTCCAGGTAAGTACTCTGTCTGATTCTATGGGCATGCTTGTGGAGAAGATAACAAAGCAGTTGGATCTTGAATGGAGCAGTAGTATACTATCTTGTGTAGTTTCAACCACGGCTAGTAGAAAAAGCTGGGAAGTGAGATTCTAGTTGATAGAACCACGTAAGATTGGTATGAGCCTCTAGAACTTCAAGCCAGCATCCTGCTGCAAATGAAGGTAATGAAACATATTCACAGCATGTGGAGGGAATCCCACATCATCCTGCACTTCAGGACAAAATACAAAGGACATGGACACCCACCTGACTACAACAGGACTTTTGTGGGTTCTGTGGCTGATTGAGAAAAGATGGCAAGGTTTTTATTGGAATGAAAAAACGAAATAAAAAAGGAAAGGACATGACTTCCCCTAAATATGGTAGAGGAGAAAATTCATTGTAGACAAAAGGGAGAGCAAACCCAGAGGCAGGGACATTTGGGAGAGTTCAGAGTGCACATGACCAGCCTGAGCTGGGCCATATGGGCAGAGAAGGAAGGGAAAGGAAAAAGGGAGAGAGGGGAACCAAAATGGCTGATTTATATAGGGAAGAGCCTCTGGGAGAAGGGCAGCCCAGCCCTGGGCTGGATAGTTATGGATAAGGGGCCAGCCAGGTAGAGTCTGAGGGATGCTGGGAGAACCTGGTGGCCATTGTCCACTTTAATACGTTAGGTTGGCCCCTCAGCCATTTGACCAAGGGTTTGAGACTTAACACTGGAGGAGGAACAAACATTCATAGTGGGTTGGCTTAGTCCAGTGGTTGTAAGCTGGGCAGCCCTTGCTATGGAATGGTAAAACTGTTGATAAATAGCAAGAAATTATGTGAAATGTGGCCGGCTATGTTGACAAGTGGGCAGCTGAGGTCTTCTGAGAACTCTGAGGAGGCCTCCTGAAAGGTTGATCAATGTCCCTTACAGAGAGGGAGCAATGGTTAGTCATATGCTCAGGAAGTTTGGGTTCTGTGGTTTACCCTGACTCATCTAGTTTCCGATAAGTGTCCTAGTACCTTGAGAGGGTACAATGGTTGGAAGCTAATGTCTCAATTTGGCAGCGAGAATGAGGATCATGTGGAGTCAGATCCCTTGAGTTCAGCTAAGAGACCCATCTGTAACAGGAAGTAGTTACAAGAGTAGACAGCCATTTTAGAGTCTGGTAGCAAGAGAAGGGCAGAGGGACTGGCCCTGGGACAAGAGCACCTTGGCATTCAAAGTACAATACCGCCATCCAGTGGAATGATTTTGCTGTTTGTACCAAACACTCCAGGTTTTCTCATTATGTCTGGGTGGGGGCGAGGGTGAGGAAATGGGAAGGAGGGAGGCTCTAGTCCAAACAGTGCAAGAAAGGAGGGTCCAGCAGTCTTGCCAACCTTAGGGGTACCCAGGGTACCAGTGACCCATGTGAAGCACCAGCCAGTCTAGCTCCCGAAGAAGGCAAGGCTCTAGAGCACCAGACCTCAACTATACAGGAAGTACAGACAAGGAGATCCTGTGGCAGCCATGGCTGACATACATGAGAGGAGTTCTCTACCGAGGAATCATCACATGGGGCTCAGGTGTGTGGACAGACTACTTGTGACTCCTTCGTGTCCTCCTATGAGCAAGGGACAGAGTCTGTCCAAGTACCTGTGGCCACACTCAGTGTCCCTGGCTGACTGATTGTTTTTCCTGTCTTCTACCTATACCCACACCTCCCTTCCTGGAACCAGATATTGCACCAGGGACACTGCTTCTTCTCAGGAACTCGGGGTCCCCAGAAATTCCAGCCAGAGGTCATTGACTTGTAAATCCTTTCTTAGTTCATTCCTTCTTTTCATCTGGCCATTGATTCCTCCCTCCCTCCCTTCCTTGCTTTCATCCTCCCTTGCTCATTTGCTTACTGACAACCTTAGCCTATTCACTTTGCTTTCCTCTCGATCTTGTCTTCCTATTTTTCTCCATTTCATTTCTTTCTGTTTCCGTTTGACTTTTACTCTTCTTCAGGACTGCTGCAGGTGGAGTTGAGTGTCCTCTACTGATCAGTCTATGATTTTGCTATAAAAATTATATCCACAGCATAATCACAGGGTATGGGGTGTTACTGCAATGGAGGTATGTACTTGGAACCTCCTGGTTGTGTGAGCCTATTGTGTATGTATCAGAAAGGAGCAGAGTGCAATGTGTCCATCCTCATGGTGAGCCTGAGCAGAGGAAGCCTCAGTCACGGAAGGAAGGTAGAGTTGAGAGGTGACATGCCACATGACCAGGATTCACTACCTGAGTCTCCCTGGAAAACCAACTAACAACAAACCTGACTCAAAGCAGCTCAGAACTCTTGGAGTGTACTCCACACTAGCCCACAGTATTCCCAGAGAGTGCTTGGGGACAAGGTCAAGAAAAGTTTCCCTGCCCCTTCCCAGGTGATAGCTGGCCTATTAGATAATAGAAGTTAGGAAGCTGGTCTGTGATCAGGTAGTGGAATAATATGTAGATCATGGCCCAACATAGGCATGTGGCAATAGATGAATCTATGGTTCTACTCAACTTGGCAGTTAGCTGGTATATTCTATATATTCTCTTTCTCTCTCTCTCTCTCTCTCTCTCTCTCTCTCTCTCTCTCTCTGCCTGTGTGTGTGTGCGTGTGTGCACACATGTAGTTCTTTGTTTCCTCTATGTTAGAAGCAAGGCCATAGAGGGTACAGAAACCATTGTAGAGCGCCCTGCCTCTAGAAGGTTTGTAACACATCCATTCATTTCAAACCTGGAAAAGTTATTGGCATGAATTTTGTAAGCCCTCAGCAGAAGTACACAAGTGGATACATCTGGCAGAAAGTGCTGGGATCACAGAGTAGTGGCATGCAGTCTTGTCAGGAAGTAGGGGTCTGTTCTTACAATACGGTTCTCAAGACCTTTGGCAGGAAAATATTTATGTGGAAGGTGCCAGGACTGATTGATCCATAGATATGGGTAGCCTGGGGCCAGTCAGAATTTGGAGTAGGCCAGTCACAGGGGAAGAAGACCATTTCCATCCTGGGAAGGGTTCCCTAATCTGGGTGTTTATGGAGATGGAGAGTGTAGAAGCACTGACAGGGTTTTCTGGAGAACAGAGACCAGCCATACCCACCACCCCCTGGGCATCACAAAGAGTCTCAACAAAGAGGATGGGGGCCTCTACGGGTTCAGTCATTTAGGCCGTGAAGGCTCCCTGTTTGATAGTGAAAACTATTTTCCAAGGAAAAGTGGTAATTTCCCAAGAATCCAGTGACGTCTATCTTCCCTGGACACCTGTGACATGACATTAATGTTGGTATGAATGTGTGTGTGTGTGTGTGTGTGTGTGTGTGCCCACTTGTGGTGACAGTCAGGTTTTAAAACAAATTCCTTCTTCTGATAACTACACTCACTTTGTCCTTGGTCATGTGTCTAGCTTCCTGAGAGAAAAGATGGTAAATTGTAGGCTCCATTTGAATATGACCCAATTGCAGCACAAAGGGAGTATACCCTGAGGAATGTGTGGTGGTGTACTGGTGTGGTGTTGACATGCTGAAAGAAACCAAGAAGCCTGGATTCTCTATTACATGGAGTTCCTTTCAGACTGTGTAAATGCCACTAGACAGGCTTCTTTGCATCCATGGCGGGTTACAGACATCTTTACCTGACTGGATGTGGATACAGGTGATCAAAAGACCCAGATACCAAACAGAGTCTGTGACCTTTGGAGAAAGGAAACAAACCTCTGTCCTGACATCCAGCAGCTGTGTGGAAAAGGTGAACAATTGTGTACCAACAATGAGATCATACACTGGCTGGGCAAGCTCAACGAGGTGATTGGAGCCACAGCCAAGAATCTGACAGGTTGGTAGCAGCTGGATGTACTAATATTTTGTCTTTGATATTTTCAAGTCTCCAGATGAGGGTCCCTGAGAACCTTATCTTCCATCAGAGGCTAAGGGGCTTCAACACAAAAGCTCACATGAGTTTGCAAAATGGCCAGCAGAGAAACACTTGATTGCACAGACAGGGTCTTGGAATGCACAGGTTGGGTCTCTGGACAAAAAGATCAAAGGGTGGCAAATTTCCTCATTATCCTGATTTCTATCTGTGGCTGAGGAACTGAGACTCTCAAAGTGGAAATTGTACTATTTTGTCATCTGTATAAGGATGAGTCCCCTCTGCTACATACAAATGCAATGCTGAGTCTAGGCCCTGTGTGACTGGGAGGTTATCTTCCTTGTGCCAACTGTCCATTTACTCCTATGTCTTATATGGGGTAGGTAGCCTTGAAATTGAAGCCTTGTTGTGTCATGGAAATACGATGTCTGCACATCCTTAGAAAACTTGTACACTGCATGGGTTACGCTTAAACCTTGGTATCAGAGTGCCCTGCACAGATTTGCCATTTATACTATTCCTGGCAAGCTATGATAGGGCCTGTACTCATCCCTGGGCCTATTTTCTGCCCAAGGTTTGATTCTGTGGCTTTTCCTGATGCTTGCTTCCAGTTTTAGGGTTCCAAGTTTAGTTTTCCTGTCTCGCACTTAGACCTTGAGGTTAGACCATGCCTCTGGTGCTTAATGATCTTCATACAATGGGGTTAAAGACCCTGTGAGGTCTGTGAACCAACCCTGCCCCCCCATGCCCAGGATTCATATAATAAGACTTCAAGGCCTATTTCTGATCAAAAGATGTCAAGACTTAACTGTCATTTTGGAATCTCATGAGAAGTTGTTGACCTTTTTTCCTTCAGAGAAGGCTGGAGGAAGAAACCCTGAAAGAAGGGTCCCTTGGTGTTCATGGTATAACACTGCCATCAAGCAAAATTGTTTTCTTCCTTCTGCCAACACATCAGTGTGCTTTTTCTCAGCAGGTCTAGGGGTAAGGGAGTACAGAATAAATGGGGACTATGTTCCAAAGACAGAACCAAAGGGGTTTCCCATTATCCCAGTTTAGCTAATGAGTGAGGGCCTCACCATTGCCAGACCCTGGGCTTGTTGTACCC